CATAACTAAAACTTAAAAATGGTATATACTGATTTGTCACTACTTTGAGTGTTCATAGAGCATATGCCATGGGACTGTTTCCAAGACAAATTCCAGCTTGTTTTTAAATGATTTAACCAAAAAACTAAGGATGAACAATAAATTGTCACCCTAAACTAAAGGCAAAATTGCCTATTAAAACAGACAGAAACAATTAAACATCCAATATTGGTTGAATTAAAAATACAACTTTTATTTTATTTAATTATTTAATGTAATCTATCGTATCTACCATAATTGAATGTTTAATTATTTCTGCCTATTATAAGATTTAGATTGATATAAAAATATGTAAAAATATATTTATTTATATAGAAATATCAATAATTTGTGAGAATTTTATGCACAATACAAATTATTGTGTGACTTTATAACATGTACAGAGAAGGACACAACCGTAAAATGTACATTTTCTGTATGCCTGTTTTTGCATTGGGTCAGAGGGAATAATGCTGTTCATGTTGTGACTATATTAGATCGGTTTCATCCATAATTTGATGGATTTAGTCACTGTCATGAACACTTCATACAGTTTGCATTTGCTCCTTATCTGTCCATGAAGGCAATTGTTTATGTACAGTGTGTGTGCGTGCCGTTCTCTTCATTAATAATTCACTGCACACACTCAGTTTCGTCCATAGTTCCAGCTCGGCCTTCCCATATTAAAAATTTATTTATTTCTCATAACAGTATGGCTGAGTCTAAGCCAAGCTCATCCTGATCTCCCTCCTCCTTCACTTATCCTCTGTTCTTTCTGTGATTGCTGTTATCCCGTCTTCTTTCCTTCCATCTGGTTAACCTAAGCTCCCCCTCCAACAGCAATCAACATCTGGGCACGAGGAGTGTGTGTGCTTGTGTGTGTGTGTGTGTGTGTGTGTGTGTGTGTGTGTGTGTTCAAACCACTCGGCAGGCCATAGAGTCAGTCCTTATTCTGCATTTCTTGGAGCAGGAAGTGGGCTGTGGCATCTGTGTGATGTCACAGGAAGAGAAGATTGTATCACAGTTTGGAAAACATGAGGGAGAGAATGACGAAAATACTTTTAAATATAAGTGCTTTGGTCACTTTTATGTCACAGGCATTTTTATTTTATTAAAACCTTTTTTTCCCCTTTTTATATTTATTATACTGTTAATGTTTATATATTTATTTTGTATTTTTTAATGCCTTTTATGAATAGATTGTATTATTTTACCCTGGTCTCAGTAGCTGGATCTTGAATTTGAAAATCCATTTAGCATATATTTAGTCATTTTAAATGTAAAAAAATATAAACAAATATATTTTAATGTTTGAAACATTTTTTTATTATTATTATTTATTAATAACTGTCTCTCTGTTGTTGTGTCATTTCCCTCTTGACCAACAGTTTTGCCCCGATAAACTTTTATTAAATGTTAGTTTAATTGGCACGGTATTTAACTGTAAATTTAAGTTAAAACCTAAAATGTTGCTACAGTATTTTTTACGGTCAAATTCTGGCAACCACAGCTGCCGGTTTTTTACCGTAAATTTTACGGATTTTTTTTTTTACAGTGTACCAATTAAACAGAACTGTCAGTGTTTTGTAAAAAATCTTAAAAATATAATTTCCACCACACCAATGCTATTAAACACAACACATAATATGAGATGATGAAAATGATATTGTAGTATGAGCAAAAAAAAAAAATTACAATAACAAATTTCTGTTGTGATGCATGTATGTCCACTGTTGCTAGAAGACAAATTAAATAAGCTAATGAGAGTTTGAAAAGCGTATTAGGTTGATTCTCTGTTTACAGGACCAAAAGGGTTAGTTTATGGAACCGCTATAAACATCTATTCATTGTCTTCTTTCTCTATACAGAATACTCCAGAAAACTGCCTTTAGTTGAGTAATTGTGCGAAAAATATTTAATTTAATAAGCATGGAAGAATGTGAACAAGGAGCCAGTGCAGCAGCAGCATTTGAGTTTGATGATGAACCGCCTGTTTGTGTCCGATCTGTTTCTCCAGAGACATTATAAACAGTCCATGCACAAATGTGCCACCACATGCGCACATCACGAGTAAGATGATGTCAGTATAACATCACAGCCCTTGCTTGATGATATCCTTGTTTGTATATATTTGTGACAGACAAATCCAGCTGTGTTTTTTCCATTCATTATTAGTGGATTTCTGAAAGGATTGGTTCAGCTAAAAATTAAAACTGTCTTTTTTTTTTTTACCTTTAATGGTTGACAGATATATCCCCATAGTCGAAAATCATTAGCATTTTCATCCAATAAGCTTTTCTGTTTGGCTGGTAAGTGTTAAAAAAAAAAAAAGTGCTTTTTGTGTTACAATTCTGTAAAATAAACACATCTATTATTATTATTATTTTTATTTTTTTTTTATCATTTTCAAATGATTGTTTCCTAATTATTTTAGTAAATATTATGTAAAATAATTATTTAATTTCAGAAATTGTTATGCATGTGTTATTTACTTTGTTTATCCCTCTGATGCTGCTTGTGTGGTGGCCAAAAATGACCTTTTTTATCTAGCAAAATGAATGTACTATATTTTAGTACAAAAATTATATATTTTTTTAAATTATATTTATGGAATAGTTATGATCCATTTATTACCTGTTAACCGCTTTTTGAGCATAGACCTGAAAATGACATTTCCAACTGAAGGAGACATCAGATGCCCATTTTTCATAAGTTAGTATGATTCTTTAGGGTCTTCAAGAAATGTCTGTAACATACTTTGGTTAAAGGGATAGTTCAACCAAAAATGAAAATGACCCCATGATTTACTCACCCTCAAGCCATCCTAGGTGTATATGACTTTCTTCTTTCAGACAAATGCAATCAGAGTTATATTTAAAAATGTCCTGGCTCTTCCAAGCTTTATAATGGCAGTGAATGGGTGGTAATATTCAATAGTCCAATAAACTGTCCATCTATCATAAAGAAGTGCCCCATGCGGCTCCGGCAGGTTAATAAAGGCCTCCTGAAGTGAAATGACACTTTTTGGAAGAAAAATATCCATATTTAAAACTTTATAAACCATTATTTTTAGCTTTCGCTTACTGTCATGCATTCGTACACGAGAGAGTCGTGTTCCAGTGGATGGCATAGGACGTGAGAATATGCTAGTCTCGCGAGAACCAAGGTTTGTTTAAAGGAGCAAAGGAAGCAAAGTTTATTTTGTTTAGCAAAGGAAAACTAGTCTTCTCTTGGCTTATATTGAAGTTCTCCGACATTTTTCTTTACAAATCCTCTTTTTGTACTTCTAATTCGTTGTTTTGTTTTGCTCTCTCTGTGCTTCCGCATTCATCACTTCTCACTGGAGCTTACGCTACACCTATGTCCTACTTGAATGTGACTTTGTCGTGAACGCATATGACAGTTAGCGGAAGCTAGAGATTTAAGGTTTATAAAGTTTTAAATATGGATTTTTTTCTTACAAAAACACGTCAATTTAATTCAGGAGGCCTTTATTAACCCGCTGGAGCTGTGTGGAGTCATTTTTTATAATAGATGGATGCAGTTTATTGGACTTCTATTGGACTATTGAATATTACCACCCATTCACTGCCATTATAAAGCTTGGAAGTGCCAGGACATATTTTAATATAACTCCGATTGTATTCGTCTGAAAGTAGAAAGTCATTTACACCTAGGATGGCTGGAGGGTAAGTAAATCATGGGGTAATTTTCATTTTTGGGTGAACTATCCCTTTAAAATTCCTCAATTGTCATGTAAAACAACACCCTTTTTACCTTGTCAAAAACAGGTCTGTTCACCGCGACTCTTTTCGGTGCATGTCTCTTTAAATGATAATGAGCTACTGCTCACCCCACCCCTCTCTTCCGTGGGGCGTGTCGACATAAGACAAGTGAATTACTGCCTTGGACTCTGTATATGGCTTGGAGGTGGTCTTATTCAAATAGATATCTATCTACGTAGAAACCGGTTGCAAATTGAAACTCGCTGAATGACACAGTTTCAGACTCAGACAGCCCATAAGAAACTGGCTGCGTGTTTTCTTTTCAGCTTTTCAGAGCTAGCAGACATGCCAGAAACCTAACTAAATGCAAAAAAAAAAAAAAAAGCTAAAAAAGTAAACTGGGTGAAAATCAAAGTCCTAGATCAAAACATGTTATGTTGCATATTTGAGGTTGATATCTCAAAAATTTCAGTAAGATTTTGTTTGGCCATGGTACCAAATGTTTCCACTAGAACATTTCCAATGCGGTCATTTCTGACGATGAACCGTACTAGTGTGATTATTTTTTTCAGGACCATTTAACCTTTTTGAATCACAAGTTTCACACCATTCAGATGAAGTTACATTTCTAAAAAACCAAAATGTAAATTTTTTTCTGTCAAAAATGAACAGCACCAGAGGGTAAATTAAATAGCGTGGTATCATATAGGCCTATATTGGCTTTATATATCGGTCATCGGCCACCCTACTCTCTAAGAAATCATCATCAGCCATCATAAAATCCAAATTGGTCAACCACTACTCACCCTCTTGCTGTCCCAAATCGCTATTCTGAAAGCGCCACACACATACATCAAAACATGGCAGAGGAAATAACAGAATTTCCATTCAAACGGTTCCTTTAAGAACTGGCTCTGTTTGCATGTTTATGTGTGGGAATGTGATATGCTGTCAGTTTTTGAAGTTTCTAGAACCTGCTTTCTCTCCTGAGCAGAGGAATGTTGAGCACTTCCTGTCTTTGTCTGCCCCCATTGTTGGTACTTGCTGGGCTTGTTTCGATCAGGCAGACTTCTCCTCCTACCTCACACATTTCTAACCACACTTGTTTCTTTGTTCATTATGCCTCAAGTCTCTCTTCCCCCTCAGTCATTTTTTTTCCCAGTATCCAATGCCTGTTTCTCTTTCACTTTTCTCTCGTATCGTGCAGTTTTGAAAAGCAGTTTTATTTATACACTGTAAATGTATTTAATGTCATCTCTCTCTCTCTTTCATATGCACAGTGAGTCAAGTATCTGTCAGGCACGGGCCACTGTGATGATCTACGATGATACCAATAAGAAGTGGGTCCCGGCAGGCACGGGTCCCCAAGCTTTCAGCAGGGTCCAAATCTACCACAACCCCAGCAATAACGCCTTCAGAGTGGTGGGACGCAAGATTCAGACCGACCAGCAGGTAAACAAACTACATTCAGCCAGATGTAGCGTGGGGTTGCAGACAAACAAACCATTTTTCATCGAAGGTAACACTGCAGAGTGTTGACACATTCAGGGTAACTGGAAAAAAGAGCATTCCAAACTTTGCCTCAAGCTCAGTTTGAAATAGTTTGCAACTGTCTTCAAGAATTATTATTTTTTTCACAGCTAAAGTCCAGCAGCACGTACTGCAGTCTAATATTGTGTGTTCTTTCATAATGTCAAAGGGATAGTTCACCCAAAAATGAATATAATTAATTTACTGTCCCTCATGTCACTCCAGACCCATTTTTTATTTTTCTTTAAGAATGCAAACAGAGAAATTTAGCAGAACATCTACTCTGCTTTTCCCATCTTACAAAAGTGAGTGCAGACTGGGATGTACAACAGTGGATTTACATATACAACTGACCCCATCAGAACCCTTGAATTTATATAATTCCACCAGAAGTGCATTTAACCCCAAATTACAATTCATATACATGATTTCCTGTTTTTCTTTACTTACCATCCAAGTCTCTGAGCAGAAATGCAAAAAAATGTAATACATTTTTAAAAAATAAAAAAGTAGTGATATATATACCATTCAAAAGCAACACAGTACAACAAAGTACATTTTTCGAAAGAAATGAAAACTTTTATTTAGCAAGGATGCATTAAATTGATTAAAAGTGTTATCGTAATGTTACAAAAGATTTTTTATTTAAAATAAATGAAAACAATTCATGAAAAATAAAAAAAAATGAAAGCAGCACAAATGTTTTCAACAAAGTAACCCAAAGGTCGCGGGTTCGAGTCTCGATACCAGCAGGGATTGTAGGTGGGGGAGTGAATGACCAGCATTCTCTTCCACATTCAATACCACGACTGATGTACTAAACCCCCAACTGCTCTCTGGGCGCCGCAGCAAAAATGGCTGCCCATTGCTCCAAGTGTATGTGTTCATGTTGTGTGAGTGTATGTTTGTTCACTAATCACTGCTGTGTGTGTGCACTTGCATGGGTGAAATGCAGAGCACAAATTCCAAGTAAGGGACACCATACTTGGCAACACATCATGTCCTTTATGATACGAAGAAATTCTTAACATTTATAATACAGACATATTCACAAGTCCCTAAGGTCCAAGTCAAGTCTTTATTCTCTTTATATCTAATTTTAGCAATAGTCAAAATAGAATATAATCAGAATCAGAAGCAGAATGAGCTGTATTGCCAGGTATGTTTACACATACGAGGAATTTGTTTTCGTGACAGAAGCTTCCACAGTGTAACAGAATGACAGCGACAGAACAAAAAAACACAGATAATAAAAAAAAAGAATATTATAATAACAATTCAAATTTGTATTAGTAGTATGCAGTAATGCAACTGCACTGTAAAATAAATGTAAATGAAAAATGAATAGGTTATGATGCGTTTATTATTCAATTTTACAATAGAAAATTATAATATTTCTTCACTTGCAAGAGATAAACCCCTGAGCTGTTATTTTGGTGGAAACCTGCAGTTTCAGTGAAAACAGGTTTACAAATGCGTCTCATTACAAATGTGGTGAAATACTAGGGGTGTAACGGTAAAAAAAAAACATGACAGTTCAGTACATACCTCGGTTTTAACGTCACGGTTCGGTATGGTTTTGGTACAACAGGGGAAAAAAACAAAACAAACAATTTTTTTTTATTAAACAGTGGTGTATTGAACTATTATAATTACAATTTTCTTGATAAAAAAAAACTACCTCATCTTATGCTCTAAACTACAGGATGCCCTTTTACATTACTATAAAGTTACAAGGAACAACTGAGGCCAAAATTAAATTTAGCTATTATTTATTTTTAAATATAATAATCAACACTCAACTTAAAAAAATTTTTTATGCAAACAAGTAAACTGCACATAATGCAAATTAAAAGGATCATGAATTGAGAAATCAACTTTTACTTGAGCTTTTGATATAGCTTTTGATAAGAGGTCATTCGTATTAAAAGAATATCTTAGTTTCAGAAAAGGAATGGCCGAAGGTAATGCGGGACGAAAGTAACAAAGCGATTTTCTCCGAGCCCTGACTACATTTGCATTCCAAGCTATGACAGCATGTTCTGCATGCAACCCTTGACGGAGCTGCCAAATATCACGTGATTTCGTCATCGTTTCCCGCGGTTAGGTCCGGAAAGCAGTTTTTCGAGTACGGTAAGTAAATTACTGAAGCGGTACTTTTATTCTAATTACTACAACTACAAGTTGTGTTTCCTGTTTCATGTGTCACAGTAATGATCAATCTATAGTTTATTTAGTGCTCTAACAGATCCTTAAGTTTGCTTTGTCCAAGTTTTTCAGTATAAATGTAAATCGGGTTTCTGTCGGGGCGAAAGTAACACTTGTTACTTTTGTCCCGCTACAGTGACAAGTGTGTATTTCGCCCCACTGCTAATGTGGTGACTTTCTGTGTGTTGCAGCATTTATTAAAACATGTTTATGTCATATCCCAACAGAATATGCCAAGACTGAGGGTCAGAAACTCAGACAGAGGTCTGATTCAGCCAGATGTTTATGAGAGGGCGTTTCTGGACATATCGGTCAGGAACATCTATGTCACATTTAGGTTCCACCACCACCTATGAATTTGCAGTGTTTCCATCCAGATGTTTTTATGCACATTTTGAATTTATGCATAAAATCAACTGGATGGAAACATGACTACTGTGACATTATGCTGAGAATTTATATTATGCTAATTTAATAAAATTTAAATTTCCATATTGTTCATACTGTAGAAAAAAATGGAAATGACATTGCCAATAAAAAAAAATATTCTACACAATTCAAGTTTGTACTGTCGGGTTACTTTTAAAACATTTGATGAAACTGAAATTTAAAATGCAAATGTAATTTAATAATTTTTTGAAAAAGATAAAGGACAAAATATGTTTGCAGTTACATATTAACAAGGTCATAGATATATTTTATCTAGCTTGTATTATTGTTACTTTCGTCCCAACTGACGGGGTCAAAAGTAACAATGTGCAACTTATGTTCAGAGTGAAATTATACTGAAGTCGTTCTACATTTGTACAAAATACCACCTGGTATTGATAGACCACACTTGTGAGTTATTGACCACAGCAAAAATGTATCGGTCTAAAACATTATAATTGAAAATTGTTTTTCTGAAAAATGGAAAAAAAAAAAAAAAAATGGACATAATTTGAAAGATGAGACTTAGTTTCTTATCAAAAGTAACAATATATAAAACTGGAAGTTTCAAATGAAATTCCACTCGTGCAGTGGTTAAAACAATGCTGTATTTGTTCGTTACACATGCGTACTGAACCGACAGACCCGTAGGCTACCGAAAATTTTCGGAATACGTGTACCCTTACACCCTTATGAAATACTGTAATAATCTGTCCACAAAAAAAGTTGGAAATTATGTGTATGTGAAAATAATCTGTAACTGGTGCCCGTTACGTTCCCAAATGCACGTTAAACTCACAACACATGCAGAGATGGAGTTTTCGAAACACCGAAAACACTGGATCCTGAGCTGAACGCATGAGCAAAGTGTGCGCTTCGCTTTGACACACACAGCGCAAACAGACTATACTCATTCATTTAAATTGAAGCCTTTTCATGAAGATTATCACGAGGTTAGATGCTATATCTTTGTTCATATAACCACACTTTTCCAATGTGTGATGAACACGCACCATCAGATTCATCACGCGTGTTTATAGTAACGCTGGCTGGTTTAGAGAATTGTTGTGATATTTGCTGTTGCATCACATATTGATATGGAATGAATAGAAAAATATGGTGTTTGATGCTGTTAAAAAGAGAACATAATCGGCAATGACTTGTGTTTTTGATGAGTCTCTGTCTTCGTGTCCAAGTTAAGTCAAGTCAGTTGTTCATGCGACTTCAGCGCAGCTCGAGTCCAAGTCGCAGACTCGAGTTTCCATAATAAGAAGAAATGTTTCTTGTGCTGTTAAAAAGAGAACATAATCGGCAATGACTTGTGTTTTTGATGAGTCTCTGTCTTCGTGTCCAAGTCAAGTCAGTTGTTCACGCGACTTCAGCGCAGCTCGAGTCCAAGTCGCAGACTCGAGTTTCCATAATAAGAAGAAATGTTTCTTCATCACCAAATCAGCATATTACACTGAAGACTGGAGTAATGATGCTGAAAATTCAGATTTTCATCACAGGAATAAATGACATTTTAAATTATATAAACATTTTAAAGTGTAATAATAAAACTCTATTTTTTTGTTAAATAAATGCAACCTAGGTGAGCATTTGCCACACAATGTTTATATAATGTTTCAATATCATTTTCAGTGAAAACTGACTTATTTTGTTCTGTTTGTCAAGCAAAGCTATTGCATAACTTCAGAAGACTTTGAATATAGTGCACAAATCATATGGATTACTTTTTACTGTCTCTGTTTTGGCATTTTTGAAGCTCAACATCCCCAGCATCCATCCACTTTCATCTTACAGAAAACCGTAGTCTGAACATTCTACTTAAATGTCTGTCAGCTAATTTTTGGGGAGAAATATTGCTCTAACTGCCACAATATAATTTATGTTTCTGAGTTTTACAGTCCATCCATCACCTGATTCCTTCTGTCTTGAGTTCTCTCTTCCCCTCCCAGCACTGTCGCCCTCTATACGCTCAGACATGAATGCTCCCCAGAGATGACTACGTTGTTTCCTGTAAGATAGCCAAACCATTTCCCGTGCCAGTTAGGCCCTCCTCCCCCATTCCCATGACTCTACCTCTCCACACTCCATCTGTCTGATTCCACAAACTCATTTCTCTTTGTCTGAGTGACTTTTGTCTCTTTCTGTACAACTCTTTCTGTGTAGTGTTCTGTATTTACAGTTTCTCTGTATTTTTGATGGCAGAAAATTTGATGGATTTTCTTCTTCTCTCTCTTCTCTTTCTCTCCTCTGCTCTACTTTGTGGAATTCATGATTGTAATACAAACAGAGAAATGAGGTGTCAGCACATTCACTAAAGGGGAACACTCACACACACTCGATCTCTCGCACACTAACTCGTGCGTTCTGCAGAGGTGCAGCCATCTCCTGGACAGTCTGTTCAACAAATTTTTGTTTCTGTTGGAATAGGCAAATAAGTTTATAAATCTGTTTGAGCTTTGTGGTTAAAGTACTTTAAGGGCGGGTAGGAGAAAATCTTTTGGCACATTCAAATATATGTGAATCTAAGTGTAGTTTAAAACGTGTGTGCCAAGTTCTTAGACGTGTTGTTCTAAGATTGGTTTTAAAAAATGTAAATAACTGTAAATAATCACATATTTGCTGAGAAAAGCACCGTTGTAGATCATTTAATACATTATTTATGATGGCAGAGTAAATTCTTTAATAGAAAAGTGAATTTGTTTATTTCATGTGGCTGAACTTACTGTATGTTTGTCTTTGGCTTTAAGGCCTGTTCACACTTGCATTCCATCTTCAAGATTTATTTTTAATTTTTTTAATAAACCTTGAGAACCCTGTATTTTGTTTTCTTTCAGTTGCACTTTTAAAGACAAGTATGCATCTTGACTTTGATTAAATTGTTTTGAGAAACATTTTTCAAATCTTAAATGTATTTTTTAAAATAGAATTGCTTCCACGTACATAAATAATTAAATCAATCCAAACAGCTAATTAAATGCTTATTATATTATTGTCATAAAAGCACCACAAAAGTAAATAAAGTAAATAAATTCATAATCTGAAAATGTTCATCATAAGAGGCGTATTAAAGTATTAGTATATATGAATTACATTTAAAAAAATAAATAATAATAATAGATCTGGACACCAAAATGGGTGTCAGAAAGAATAATGAACTTCTTAAATTGCATAAAAAGAAACTGCATACTTTTGTGTTGTACGACTTGATTTACATTTGGACATTTGTGTCTTCTGAACAGGTTGTGATGAACTGTCCAATTGTAAAGGGATTAAAATATAATCAGGCCACGCCAAACTTCCATCAGTGGCGGGACGCTCGGCAGGTGTGGGGCCTGAATTTTGGCAGCAAAGAAGATGCAGTGCTGTTCGCCAATGGCATGATGCATGCACTTGATGTCCTCAACTCCATGCCTGACGGAGGTAATGCACATGCACATTTTTACACCATTTTGACAGAGCATATGTTTTAATGTATAATAAAAAAAAAATCAATGCAACCTTTTTCAACTGCATTGTATTTTAGGTTACCCCACGCGACCTGTGTCCAATGGACCATCCCCAGAAGAGCTGGAACAACAGAGAAGGTACAAACTAGGGGTTATTTGTAGTGGTTTACGTAACAAAATGATTTTATTCGAAGTAAAGTTTTTAAGTTTTTGTCCACTTCCTGTGGTATCGTGTGAATTGCCTGAAGTCATGGTTTCCCTGGTCAGTCTTTGATCTCATTTACAGACGCGCACACACATACACACAAGCACACACTCTCAAGGGATTATTGGTATTAACGCTTAAGTATTTAGCTTTCCTTGAGACCCTGAAGTGATGGGGCAGAAGTCCGGGTCAGGCCTTCTGACACTTAAATCCTCTTCTTCCCTGCCTCATTCTCCTCTTCTTTCTCCCTGCAAGACTACAGGCGAAAAAATGTAACTCTCTCTCTCTTTCTCTGTCTAGTTGTTATTGTTACCTTGCTAAAGACTTTACATGGAGCTGGTTGACATGTCTTTACTTGACTGAAATGTTTTGAATGGCTCTCGGAGAGGCTTGACTTAACATGAAACTTGACATTGCAGTCTTGTACTGTAAGTGTCGCTACAGAGAGTATTCATGTTGCTCATGTGTTTTTCTACACATGAAAACACAGTTTTGTATGCACGTTTCATGTTTGAAGTCTTCTATTGAATTCACTGATTTGGACTTCAACTCAAGAAGCCTGAAGTGAGTCAAGAAGCCTGTGTGAACTCGTTGTACATAACAGCAGTGAATTACTTAAAGTTAGCATGAAATGAACATTTATTTTCACCATATCTAAATGCACGTCATGGGTATTAATGTGGATAGTTTGCCCATGTATACATCTCTTTTTTTTTTCTGACCTTTTAATTTTTAATCAGAATTTCAGAAATGGATCAGACTTCTCTCTGGTAACATATGCCAGATTTCTCCAGTTATTTAGTCCATTTAAACCACCTGTTATTTTATGGTCTTATATACTTGAAGTACCACCTTTAAGTTATTTTTTCAGTAATTTAACAACACATTTGCATGTTTATGATTCTTTGATGTTGGTTGGTCACATGACATGCAGGTAAACTAAATATTTAATATTTTTTTAGTGTTTCATTTAGATATTATTTTACAATTATTTTAATTTGACAATTTCTATGATTTAATTATTACCTTACCAACTCGCAAATCTCATTTAAAATCGCAATATGTCAAAATAATTGCAATGCCTTCATGTTTTTTCCTGCAGATTGGAACTGCAGAGGTTGGAGCAGCTAGAGCGAGAGAGACAAGAGAGAGAGCGACAGGAAAGAGAACGGCAAGCAGCTCCAGGTCAGTAGAAAGTGTTTTACCTCAACGGACTTTGACTTTGTGTATTTGGATTATGAGATCATTGCTGTCTTCTCCAAGTAGAGATCAACCAAGATGTTTTTTATGATTGATAAAAAAAATGTTTAAGCATATAGCTGCTTGGTTCACTGATATTTTTTGAAATCCCTATGAAAAAATGAATCGAAAAATACTGGGCTGTCACTGATGCGATTTGTTCTTTATAATCACACCTAATTGCATTCTTGAGTAGAACTTACTAAAGAATAAATAATGTGTAAAAGCATTATTTGCAATAATTCACAGCTGTGCTGGAGTTATAAAAGTATGTCCATAAACAATTTAAATTTGAGTATGATTTAATTCAGAGCTTTGGCATAGCGATTAACACTATGGTTTAGCTGTGTGAGCAATGCAATTATTTGAATATGCCCATAACATTTTTTTTTATCTGCTTTATTATTAAATTGCCAATTATTTGTCAAACCGACCTTTATTTGTGAGATAACGGTTTTAATAACATAATTGTGCTGTTGTTCTACTGTAGTCATTCCTCCAGCACCACCTTTGGCCCCTGGAGGCCCTCCGGCTCCCCCTGGACCTCCACCTCCCCCTGGGCCCCCTCCATCTGGACCTCCCCCACCACCTGGACCTCCTCCCTCAGGAGGAGGAGCTCCACCTCCACCTGCTCCTCCTCTGCCCTTCTCTGGAGGAGGTGGAGGTGAGGGAGAGGGACCAGGTGGTGGTGGTCTCGCTGCTGCCCTGGCAGGTGCCAAACTCCGCAAAGTGCCCAAGGTGAGACAGTGAGTGACAGGAGGATCACAATAAGAGAATGTCCAGAAGTCAAAATAATGTGTCACTTCCTGGTAACGTTATTTACAGTCTTAGTGACATCACCTGGAAATGAAATGCCTTTTTAGAAGCTGAGCAAGTTATTACATTTTGATGACACCTTTTTAAATATGGAATAACGTTTCCTGATGAATCACACACAAAAGACCAGAAACGTGTTTTAAGTAAGAAATATGATAAAATCAATATTTCATGTTGGAGAACGCAGAGAATGAGACACTGGCAAATCTAAAAGTTTACTAAAAGTTTAAAGTTTAAACTTGTATACTAAAAGTTTACACAAATAGAAATTGAAGTAGAAGGTGAAAACCAATCACATAGTGTAAAAAGCCAGATGTGAAATAAGAGGGTTATGTTCCCCCCGGTGGAACTTTATAAAGACAATTAAATAAATTTCCATGCGAATACCAAAAATAAATTAAGTATATATTAATTTACTTATTTATTATTAAATACTTAATACGTAAATACAAACTTACTTGGTGTAAAAAAAATACAGTCTAAGAAATCCATTCACAAAGATTAAATTTCAAATAAATTTACAAACCCTATTTACCTTGTTCATAGTTAAAATGTGGAGTCCATTCTCCTATCATGTTTTGCGCACATTCATTCCTGGCTGCTGTTATTGACTCAGTGCTTCCTCCTGCAGGATGATGTTGGTAGTGGTGGTGGAGGAGGAGGAGGAGGAGGAGGAGGTGGAGGTGGCAGTGGCAGTGCTGTGGCGCCAACTCCTAAAGCAGACAGCAGCCGCAGCAGTGTGTCTATGCCCAGTGGAGGAGGAGGACTGATGGGAGAGATGAGCGCAATTCTAGCACGAAGGTCAGTAGAAAAAAAGATTCAAAACCATGTAGTAAATGTATACACTAATGCATCTTCAATTAGTGTTGGAACAACTCAGTTACCACAATAATTTCAGCCTGCTCGTCAAACTAAAATATTCACTCAAATGGAAAGATATCAACCTCTACTGTTGGAGAAACACAACGGTCATCTTGGATCACGTGTGCCTTGATAACCAATCACATTATAGCTTTGACATCATTGAGTTGCAGTCAGACTTGTATGTAAAATGCTGTTTGCAGATACCACTAAATTTAATGGTAAACATGTTGAAGAATAACCGATAGCCTGTCGATTCATTATGCAATAAGTTTCCTCATGAAAGCAGTTTATTCAGCCTCCCTCCATATGACATCCATAAAAAAGGGGGAAAAAGTTTTCTCTGCATTGTATTGCAGTGTAATGATTTCCCCTGATTTCAGATTCCTTTTAATTTTGTGGAATGCTTTTGTGGAAGAAGTATTTAGAAAAAAAAAACATTTGCATTTTTATTGTACTTTACTGACTTTAATTTTTGACTAAATGAGATTATTTCAGATTTTAACGGAATAGATATAAATGAAATGCCACAGCAACTCCTTGTAAATCCTATAAATAAATGTGTAGGAATAAATAGCAAATAGTCTTAACAAAAATAGATGAATCACGGACAATGCAGAATAGATTTTATAGGTGTACAGTACATATAAACATACAGTATTTCATTTCTTCAACCAGCTCATAAGAGTTATTTGAATTGGGCTGCACTCTTCATGATTTGTTTTTAAGTCAATAAAAAAAAAAAATTGTGCTTTATTTATGCTTCACACCATTCAGCGGCAGTGTTGCGTCACCACTAAGTAGTAATTCTGCATTTGTGGAAGAATGGATTTTTAAGAACTGAAAATCATTTAGTTCCAGTATTTATTTATTTAATAAAGGAAATGATTCTATTTAAGAATGATTCTCAGTTTCTAACCATATATCTGAAATAATTTGACATGCATACTGTGACCACAAAGTGTAATGCTAGATTAGATTAATGTAATTTCGGTTAAGTAAATTGGTTTTGGAAATGTCCCTGTCTTTCTCTGTTCAACCTGAAAGTAGATGTACTTGCATGACTGGAAGATCATAGCCTGAGGTGTTACCAAGAAGGCTGTTGATCGAAGGACTTTGGTAATAACCTTGTAGTGTTAAGGGTGCTGGAGGCTTTAATAGCAGCAATATATACCACTTACATGAATTCCTTGTTAAATTAATTCCTCATTACAAAAATATTTGTTTCTTGAGCTGTGAAGTGTGACTAGGTGGATGAATTTCTGGTTCTGCATTACTGACATAACTCCTGTAACTGGAGGTGCAGAACTCTATTCCATAGTGCTTTATAACTTCCTGAAATATATGCATGTTTGTGAATCACTCTGTATTGCTAATTTTAGCATTTAGATTTTTTAGAATAAATTGCCAAATGTGTGCCACCTTAAAGGGATTATTTAATGAAAATTCGTACTCGTCTTCATGTTATTCCAAACCCGTAAGACTTTCACTCATCTTTAAATCACACATGAAGGTATTTTTATTGAAATGTTTTTGCCCTCCATTGAAAGTTCATTCTGCTAAAACTTCAAACATTTAAAAAACAAATTCATAACGACATAGCATCTTCTTAAGACTTCTTATTTAATGAACATAATTGATGTTTGGGTGACGTCAGTGTTTGGGTGTAATGAACTTTCAGTGGAGGGACAAAAGTCTCTTAGGTTTCATAAAAATATATATTGCTGCTTTTTTTCAAGATTAATGATGGGTTTGGAATGACATGAGGGTGAGTAATTGATGACAGAATGTTCATTTTTGGGTGAACTATCCCTTAAGTAATTCATCCTTGCAATGTGTGTATTACTGTAAATGTGTCTTTCATTTTATTTTATAAACTGAGGGTCAAAATTATTATTATTATATTTAATTGACATCATGCTACTTATGCTGTTTTAGACTTTAACTAGGAAATAACCCATAATATTCCTTGAACTCTTTGGCTTTGGTAACAATGTGCTGTAAATGACTGTTGTCATTGTGTCTGTTGGCACAGGAGAAAAGCAGCAGATAAAGGGGAGAAGGCGCCCCCCAAAGCAGAGGAGCCCAGTAATGTATGAACACCTTCAATCTTTTAAGGCTCATTATGGGTGATTGTGTCAGTTCCACAAACAAAGTGTGTGTGTGTGTGTGTGTGTGTGTGTGTGTGTGTGTTTTCCCCAAACCAGTGAATTGTAAAAATAACTCTGTAGCCGATTCTAAAGATTTTATTGGTCATATCAGTCACAGTTCTAATTACCTACACAACACTAAAACAAATTCCAACCCTACCCTAAACCGTAACCTTAACCTTAGTATAGCATTGGTAGCACATCCTCTTACATAGAATTATTGTGACTGGGGCCATCTAAGATTTTTTTGAAAGTCTAAAATTTTCTTAAAAACAAACATTGAATTAAGCAATGAAATTGGCTGCAGGGTGGTATTTGTTTGGGGGGGAAACAAATTCCTGTATGTTCTGTAAAATTCCTGTGTAACTTGTAAATTTCCTGAAAATCGACCATTTAAAGTGCATGCAAAAGTCTTAAGTTATTTAAAGAGGTTGTTCTATAGACTTGAGATGGAATATAGCCTCTATTACTGTAAATGTAATTACTAAAATTGAGTTAGACTTGAAAAGCCAGCACTATTACTGAATGCAGAGGAAACACTCATTCTGCTCTCTGTCTGTTTCTTTTCCTTTGCCTGATGATCTTCAGGATGATTCCGACGCTCAAGGCCCAAGCGGTAAGAACACAATGCATTTGTGATTGAGATTTGTGACATTTAGATACTCACTGAGTGTTTTCTCATTATCTGTGATTTTTCTTTAACAGAATTTAGGAGACCATGGGAAAAATCAGCCACCATGCCCAGGTGAACATTCATTTAAAGACACTGGAAGCTTATTAGTTATACATTGAACTGAAAACTTTGTTTATATCAAGTACCAGCACTGAGTCTCCATTAGTCTGATGTTTGAAGAACTCCAGCTGTTGAGTCTGACTGTCCATAGGGCCCTGTAGTTTAAATTTAAAGTGAAGTATATATACAGTACATGTCTCAAACAGGACTAACTCAGCACCCAGAGGTCTGGAGTCACCCTCTTCCTCTAGCCCATTTACCAGGTACTTTTACTACAGTATGCTCTCAACTGGTTATGGACTAACACTGCTGGCGTCCTTGGTTCCCCTGCTTTCACACACACACACACACACACACACACACTAAAGTATAAACCACTCAAGTCCATGCATTACACTGATTTTACAATAGGGTTTTGAACATTGCGTCTTGGTCAAGAACACCCTATATATATATAT